CCTGCCATCCCCTGCGTGCCAGGGAGCCACAGTGTGGCCAGGGATGTGGATGAGGATCCCACAGGCTCTGTTTCCCTCTCAGCTCCTTCCACAGCTTCTCCAGGTGGGGAGCAGCTGGCTGGAATGCCACGAGGAGCCAGAAAGTGGTACAGCGCTGTGGCACCTTGTCCCCATCATTGGAGAAGCTGCAGGATGGTGGGGATGAGTGTGAGACAGGGCTGGGGATGATGGATGGGACAGAGAGGTGATGCACGGGAAAGCCCACCCGTGCTCATCCTTGCAACATGGGTCTTTCCAGTGCGGGAATATCCCTGTGCCCGTCCCACTTTTCCCCTTCCCTCCTTAAATAATTGGCTTTTTCCAGCCTCATGATTTACCCTCAGCTGGAGGGAAGCGAGGGTGGCCCGTGGGGTTGGGCTTCATCAGCCCATGGAGGACCTTTGGGCCGCGATGCCACAAGCTGATGGAGACGGGGCAACCCCTGGTGCTTGCCTGTTTCAGCTCCGGCTGGCAGGATTTCCACCCATTTCGCTAAGTTAGTTAAAAAAAAAACAAAAAAACCCTCAGATGAAAAGGATCTAATTTTAACTCAGAACAGGGAGGATCGAGGAAGCGATGTTTTAAAGAAAGGAAAGTAATCTGACCTACGTCAACATGTGGCAGGATGATTTATTGTGTATTAAGAGGACCGGGAGGAAATAACTCATTGATGAGAGCGACTTCATCAGTGCGTGTTCGCACACGTCTTCCTGATGGGGCTCACGAGTTGGGGCCCTGGGAAAGGGGTGGCTCAGTTTTTGGGGGGTGGTTCTTAGCATCGTAGCAGGTTCCCACAGCCTGACCTCTCCTCTAGGCTGAAATGGGGGAGAAGTAGCCCAGGGTGGGATGGATACGACCTTTCATGGTTCTCCCTACCCTTGGGAAGTGGGGAGATAGCACCCCAAAGCCAATTATGTCTTTTCCATCACCAAAGGGTCAGCTGGGGAGAGGGGAAAAGAGAGAGAGGGGAGATTTTGTGTTTCTTGGAGGTATCTTACTACCGCAACCATCTTTGTATTGCAGGGCATGACCTATCTCTGTATCTCGGCCTCGGATTCATCCAATCAAAACCTGTAAGTCCTTTGCCATCCTTTTGCCTCCCAGCATCGTGTGTTGGTAGTTGTTGGTCAATAAAAGTTCAGATTATGAATGAAGGTTCAGTTCATTCATGCTGCAAAACGTTGGTATCATTGCTGAAATTGACAGAAGCTGCGGTTCATTCTTAGGTGCTAAACAGCAGTTGTAGGGGTCAAAATTTGTTTCTGTGTGTGTTTGCAGTCAGGAAATGTCATTTTCCATCAAATTTCAGAACTGTTCTACTGGGCAGAGTTGAAAATCGGAGCATTAGAAAGACAATGATTTTTCTTGGTCTTCCAAACATTTTATTGGAAAGAGAAATAGAGTATTTATTAAAATCAAAGGTGTTTTTTTTTTTTCCCTATATGAAGCATAGATACTTATAAGTCTTTTAACGATGTTCTCGAGATGAAGCTGTTGAGAGATGCTGCAAGGAAGCCCCAGGCTTTTATGGGAGGTGGTGCTGGGGTGCGATGGGTGCAGGCACTGCTGGTGCTGGGGGTTCACGTCACCCTGTTGCTGCGTTGGGCATCCCTAACAGAAAATGGGTGACTCCGGGGGATTTTTCTCACCAATCAAACCCTAAAAAAGGATCGAAACCTTGTGCTCAGTAACTGGAGTGAAGCCCATTGGTGGAGGTGCTGGTTTTCCAGCTTCCTTGGGAGCAGCCGTGCCCGGGGGTGTGATTCTGCTTGCTCATGCTCCCGCTGAGCGGAAAGAGAAGCTTTACAAGAAAACCCTGCCTCAGCAAGAACTGGGTTTTTTGGTTGTTATTTTTTCCTCTTCTCCCATTTCTTTGCGTTTGTGACATGTCTACTGAAATGAAGAAAAAAAAATTAAAAAGGGGGGAGGGGAGCGGGGAGAAAAAAGAAGATAAGATTGGCTGCTGGAAGGAAGACTTATTCAAGGAACTATTTTCTGCTTGTCAGTTTATGCCTTGGATTTCACAATCCTGGTGTCCGGCAGAGCTGATGCTTGTGACTAAGGACCTCAGTGGCTCTCAGCATTACCAGGGCCCATGTCCTGATCCCACGCCTCAAGGCTGATAAAGCATGGGGAGAGCTTTCCTCTGGCTGACTGCCTGGGTGAAAAACCCCCGTGGAGTGGGTGAGGATGGATGGGGTGGCTGAAGAGCTCACCTGCCTCCCTCCAGGATGGGTTGGGAGAGTGATGCTGCGAGCATGGGGTGGGCTGGAGGCTAGCAGCAAGGCATGCTGAGGGAGTTGGAGGCAAAAGCATCGTGTCCTTGCAAGCAAGGTGCATCCTTTCTGGCCCCAGCCTAGGGGCTGAAGTGGAGGACTGGGATCTAGGAGAGCCTGGACCCCTGTAGGCAACACGTGCAGGCCCTGGGGGATGCTTCTGCTCTGCAAAGGAGGTAGGATGAGGCAAAATTGCCCGAGACAAGCTTCAAGAAGGGAAAACCCACCCCAAAAGGTGATCTTCTGTTTGCTACGGTGGTCAAGGAGGAGGCACGTCTGTAGCCCACCAGGAGCGATGGACTGATAACTCCTTCCAGGATTTTCAGTATGACCACAGCTTCAAAGACTCCCTCATCTCTCCTCCCCTTCTTGGGCAGCAGAACCCCCTGCTGTTTGTATTCAAATATGCCTTTGGCTGGTTTCTTAGAAGGAGCCCTGCCCTTTCCAGGAAAGGGTGAGGACCAGCATCCCCTGTGATCCCTTTCCAGGGCAGGGTGAGGAGCATCCCCTCGGCTGGGCTAGGAGGGATGGGGGAGGTGTTAGAGGGTTCTGCAGGGAGCCCCGGAGGGCTCTGGGGGGAGGATGCATTGGGAGGGAGCCCTCGGCGAAGGGCACAGGGGGAATAACTCTGTGGGAGCTCATGCCTTGGCTTCTGAGAAATCAGGAAGGCTGTGCAGTCGGACGCCCACCCCATCACGCGGAAGCAGAGGAAGTCCGGCGCCGGGGCAGAGGCTCTGCCGGCTCCTGCACTCCCTGACCAGTGGCTCTGGTGGGGCTGCACCAGAGGGACCTTTTTCTTCTCCTCCCCGAAAAGCTGGGGGTGTGTGGTTAGGGAGTCTGCCAGGAGCCTAAGTTCCCCAAAATCGCATCTTCTCCCTCATAACTACCCCAAGGCTTGGTGTGACTGTGAAGGCTAGCAGGGATGGGAAGTGTTCATTGCAAATATGTGTCAAGAAAATGAATACCTGGCTCGGCATGGACTCTTGGAGATGCCCTCTATCTCTGGGAGGGATTGGCAGTGGCTTCCAGCATCCTGTGCAGTGATGAGCAGGAGGTGTCCCACTGGAGCCTGCATAGTGCTCCCATGAACACACACCTCTCTCTCACCAGCGCATACAGAGTTATTTTATCCTGTTTTTTAGGTCTCCATGCCTTCAAAATATGGTAAGGCTCAGGCTGCTCAGGCTGAGAGAGTTGGGGTTTTTCAGTCTGGAGAAGAGAAAGCTCCAAGAAGACCTTATAGCAGCCTTCTAGTAATTGAAGGGGGCCTAGAAGAAAGCTGGAGAGGGACTTTTTACAAGGGTATGTAGTGATGGGATGAGGGGTTACAGCTTCAAACTGGAAGAGAGTAGATTTAGATTAGATATTAGGAAAAAAATTCTCTAGTGTGAGGGTGGTGAGACACTGGAACAGGTTCTCCAGAGAAGCTGTGGTTGCTCTATCCCTGGAGTTGCTCAAGGCTAAGCTGGATGGGGCTTTGGGTTGAGGAGGGGAAGGGTCTTGCACCATTTTGGGACCTGCAGGCAAAATGCCTCGGGAGCTACCTTCTCCCTGCCTTCTCCCCCACTGGAATTTTTCCCTTGGAGGAAACTGGGTGTGTTTGGCATCGTTTGGAATTTATGGATAAGCTGATGGCTCAGGACAACCTCTGACATGGGGATGTGCATGTCCCTTGCCCCCTCTCCCCTCACGGGGAGGAGGAGGGATCGCTGCTCCCACCCTGTGCCGCTGGTCCCAGGGTGGTGGGAAGTCCTTGGTGGAGGACACAACTGCTGAGGCTCAGGCTGCTCAGGCTGAGAGAGTTGGGGTTTTTCAGTCTGGAGAAGAGAAAGCTCCAAGAAGACCTTATAGCAGCCTTCTAGTAATTGAAGGGGGCCTAGAAGAAAGCTGGAGAGGGACTTTTTACAAGGGTATGTAGTGATGGGATGAGGGGTTACAGCTTCAAACTGGAAGAGAGTAGATTTAGATTAGATATTAGGAAAAAAATTCTCTAGTGTGAGGGTGGTGAGACACTGGAACAGGTTCTCCAGAGAAGCTGTGGTTGCTCTATCCCTGGAGTTGCTCAAGGCTAAGCTGGATGGGGCTTTGGGGTGAGGAGGGGAAGGGTCTTGCACCATTTTGGGACCTGCAGGCAAAATGCCTCGGGAGCTACCTTCTCCCTGCCTTCTCCCCCACTGGAATTTTTCCCTTGGAGGAAACTGGGTGTGTTTGGCATCGTTTGGAATTTATGGATAAGCTGATGGCTCAGGACAACCTCTGACATGGGGATGTGCATGTCCCTTGGGCACAAGGCAGCACCTTGCCCAGAGACTGTCTCCCAGGGGTCCTCCCTGAGCTGGTTTGGCTGATGGCATCACCTCGTTCGTGATTCCTTAGGAGCAGGAAATCTCCTGGGAAGTCTCCCAGGTCATTTCCTTCCTGGCAGATGAAGATCAGCCCCTCTGCCCTCACTGGGCAGAGGAGGGATCGCTGCTCCCACCCTGTGCCGCTGGTCCCAGGGGGGTGGGAAGTCCTTGGTGGAGGACCCAACTGGTGGTGTGGCCAGGTGCCTTGCAGGGGTAGGTAGCCCTCCCATCCTCACCTCCCTGCCTCTCTCCTTGCAGGCTGCAGCATTTTAAGGAGTGCATCAAGTTCATCCATGAATGCCGGCTCAGTGGGGGAGGCTGCCTTGTCCACTGGTGAGACCTGCTGCCACCTCCTCGCGTCCTTGGTTCACATCGGTCCCATGGGAGGTGGGGATGGGCTCCCCAAAAGTGTCCTCAACGTCAAATGTCACTTGTGGTGGGGAGGAAGAAGAGGGTAAGACAAGGAACAGTGGGAGGGTGACAGAGGAAGGTCTCCACTGCTGATACCCATGCAGATGGGTGGTCTGTGTGTTGAAAACCTGAGCATTCAAAGAGGTGGGATGGGCTAGAGGAGGGCACGGGGGGAAGCCACCTGCCTGGAGCCACCAGCAGTGGCTCCCTGCCCATGCAGCTCCTTATCCCCACCCAACCCATGGCCGAGGAGCTCTGCCAGCACCCCAGGGAGAAGGAGTGCCTGTGGGAAGATGTGTCCCTTTCTGCGGGGCCAACATCAGGCTTTGTGGTGGGAATACCTCTACCTGACGCTGCTCCTTCACGCTCTGCCAGCCTGGCTGGGGTCTCCCGCAGCACCACCATCCTGGTGGCTTATCTCATGACGGTGACCGAGCTGGGCTGGGAGGGCTGCCTGGCTGCCACCAAGGCCGTGCGGTCCTACGTCAGCCCCAACTTTGGCTTCCAGCAGCAGCTGCAGGAGTATGAGGCGACCTTGCTGCAGGAGGTACGTCCCGCCCCGACGTCCCCTTATATACGTGTCTGCAGGGTTTGCAAACACGCACGGCTCTTTTGCATGCAGCTCGCTGCAGGCACCAGCTGTTTGCCCCGAGCTGGCCTTTGGGCATGCTATTTATTACCTGGGGATTTTGGGTTTTGCATGCAACAACAAAAAAGAAAAGAAAAGAATTTTGTTTAAAAAAAAAAAAGAAAAGAAAAAAAAGAAGTGCCTAGACATTATGCAGGCACACTTAAAAAAAGCTCTTTAAAACCCCAGTGCTTTTCTCGAGAGTTCAGTTAGGACACAGTGGGAGGGACAGATGAGCATCAAGTCCCCCAGGAGCCCCAGGAAGGGCGCTGGGCCAGTTCCCGGGAATGCAGTGCAGCGGGAGCTGGAGGCGGAAAGGGGGAGAGGAGAGGGAGGAAGGCTCCTGCGAGCAGATTTGGGATGCTTGGGCGTGCTCGGATCTGACAGGGCTTCCTCTGACAGCATGTCCCCTGCTCTTAGAGGCAGAGGACAAAGAGAAGCCAGTGTTGATGGAGAAACTGTCCTCTTTTCTCCCTCAAAATGATATGGAGCAGCAGGTTTTAGGAGAGCAGAAGCCTTGGCTGGGTGGGTTCCTGTCCTGTGCAGGGGAGGGATGTTGTTGTAGCTGAGCCGAGCCAGATTTTGGCAGCTGGGAGCGACAGCGGCACATTTACTCGGGAGAGCACTGGTTGCAGAGATCAGAGCTGCACTTTTGACCCAGAAAGCCTTCAAAAGCAAAGGGAAAGGCATCGAAAAGCACAGCTCCCGCCCGAATGACCTCCAGTCTCCCACACCAAACTCTGCTCCTCTGCCCGGCCCTGGGCTCCATGGTGAAGGACCAGGATCCAAAACTGTCCTGGGAGGGCACATGGACCACAGCTGGACCTCTACAAGGAAAAAGTAACCCACAACTCGGCATGCACAAGACATCTTGCAGCTCACATCACCCCTAGACTTGGTCCCATCCCTGGAGATGAAGCTCTCCCCCATCCTCTGTAGCCACTAACGTGCAGTGGTCCCATGGCAAACGGTGGCAGAGACCCGGTGGTCCTTCTGGCCACACTGAGCAGCTCAAGGGGATTTCTCTCCTCCCAGAAGAGAGGGAGGGACAGCATGTGACATTGGCCCAAATGTCAGCCCCTTTCCTGCCGCTGAGTTCCTTCCCTGGGTGCCGGAGGGAGCGGGCAGGCGCTGTCACATGAAGGACACCACCCTGCCCTGTTATCACCAGCTTGCAAAAACACCCACGGAGGAGGGTGGAAAATGGTCCAAGGGGTTATGAAACACCCGGGGTGCTGGAGATTCCCTGTGGGGCTTCCCCTGCCCAGGCCAGCTCTCCCCAACGCTTCCCACGCTCTGGCCGTGTCCCTGCCCAGACCATGAGGTGGGGTAGCTGTGCCCCCCATCCTCCTGCTCCCCAAAATCCAGGCTGGGCTCAGCAGATGCTGGACTTTCTTCCCTTTCCCGTAGATGCTGTTTTTTCATCACCCCACAAGTTCTGCCAGGGGCTTTGCAAGCATTTCCCTGAAAATACCAAAGGCAGAGCCAAGGGTGGAGGCGCTTGGACGTGGTTTTTTATTTTTTTTTTACTCCTGAGCCATGGGTCTTAGCAAGAGCTGCCTTTTTCCTCGAAACGTCCTGCTTTTCCCTGCGGTCGCTGCATCAGGGAAGGAAGCTCCGGGTGGCCCTGGTGGGTGGACTGCTGTCAGCTTGGCCCCGGGGGCGAAGGTTGGGTGCTGGAGCGGGGAGTGCTCCGGCATTACTCACCCGCAGCTGCATTTGAAGAAGGGGAAGAGCCAGGATGGATGCTCCAGCCTGACCGGCCATGCGCTGCTCCCAGCTCACCCCTTCACCTTCCACCTTTGCAATAAGAAGGGACTTGCGGGCAGGTCAGCCGAGGTGGATGGTTGGGGGTCCTGCAGGGTGGTGGCCACCATGTTCCTATGTGGCCAGGAGCCCGTGGGACCTGATGCCACATAGATCCTGCACCCTTCATGCCAAGCAGCAGTTGGCTTGCGTACCTTGGCTGTGGGAAGCCACTCCTCGTTCCCCTTTGTGGCTTTGGGGTGGTGTTCTCTGTGTAGTCAGGATGCAGTAGCAAGGGAGCTTCAGCTCTTGCTGAGGATAGAAAAGAGGTTAAATTTCCCCATTTAGCCCAGCTGTCATCCCAGCAGGCAGCAATTTGGAAATACAGTGCCCAGGAGCAGACATGGATGAGGGCTGGACGGGCTGCTCGGGATAAAAAGCCTCATTTCTTGTTGGCTAAAATCTGCGAGGAACAGGTCAGACCTCCTGGGGACCTCCTTCCCAGGGCTGTGGGTGAGCATCCCTCGGTGCCTCGGTTTCCTCGATCCGGAGCAGGAGGGGTCAGACGGGACCCTGGGATGCAGAAATGGGGAAGATGCTCTCCGGGTCTGGGCAGCCAGCCCCCGGCTACAGGAAGCTCTCCTCGAGTGTGCAGCTGTGGTTTCGAGCTGGCAAATGGTGTTTATCGGGGCTAGAGGGATAAAGAAGGAAGGAATCGACCATGAGCAGCAGCAGGGTGATGGGTAAGGTTAGAAAAGGAAGTAAGAGAGCTCAGAGAAGACAGCACGGATGTGAGAGGTGGCACAGATGGGCATTCAGGTGATGGACCTGTCCCCCCGCTGCCCCAAGGTCCCCCCCTGAGGTGCTGCTACACCGCAGCCAGGCTGCCTTACCCCCCTGGTGCCATCCCAGATGGGACGGGTGCTCCGGGCCCCGGGAGAGAGGAGGAGGGCAGTGGGTTAGTGGTCAGCGCTGGAGGAAACGGGCTGTAACCACTTCTTGCTCTGGCTTTAAAAGGAAACGCCTGGCAGCAGCAGCAGGGTGCTTCCCCCAGCCTCCCGAAGGCTCCTTCCCTCCTCTGCTGGATGGTGGGACCCAGCTCCGAGGCTGGCTGGTGGGTGCCGAGCCTCGGTGGCCAGGCTGGTCCCCCCATGGAACTTCATCCCTGCGGGTGGTTTGCGCTGGAGGGATGTTCTCCCCAAGAGCAGGGGATGCTTGTCCCAAATTCTGCCTCAAATTCTTTGAGACTCACTTTCCAGGGTGGTTTTTTCTTTTCTAGCAAGGAAATCAAGCTTGGCTTTTGGGGTCCACCCTGAACCAAGGGTCTTCCTGCAAGTGCGCAGAAGCCGTGGTGAGTCCTGCTGTCCGAGGGAGTGGATTTGGGGAATCCAGACATTCCCGGTGGAAATCCCCTCTGCCAAAGCTGACTTTCCCCAGCTGCAGGAGGGGGGATGCCACCAGGGTCGTTCTCAGACTTTATTCTCTTGTGGCTCATGGTCCCCGCATGTGTGGCAGCCCCGGCAGGACAGGGCTGAGCTGCCTGTCCCGCTGTCCTGCATCCATGAATTTGGTGGCTTCTGGCCGTGGGGTGCATCTTGCCCTGGGGGTGCAGAGGCTGGGCAGCTCCTGGGGGCTGCCTGCCCTCTCTCTCTGCTTCCCCTGGCTGCATCCCATGCCCATCCCAGTCTACCCCATGCCAGGGCTCTGATGTTTGGTCCCTTTCTGGACCCTTTACACCCCCAGGTTTTGCACTCCCAACTCCGTGCCCTCCATCCTTTTTTGTAAGGAGTTTGCTTATTGCTGGGCATGCTCCTACCTCTCATCCCAGTAAGCCCTCCTTGCTGGGGTGGCTGGTTCCCAGTGACTTTGGAAGGTGGCAAAGCCTTCCTGCTCCCGGCGAGCACTGGGCAGCTGGCACGGGCAGAGCTGCCCATTTCTGCCCATGCTCTCGAGTGCTACAATCTGGACCCCTCTGGCCGTTTCTCATCCCAGCAGGAACGGGCAAGAATTTCTATGGACCATCTTCTCACTTGCCAGCCACCTCCGGACCTCAGCCCGCTGCCAGCTGGCCCCTGGCCACCGGAGCAGCCTTTGCTGTAGGGATGTGGAGTGGGGACAGGATGAGGGACACCCCCCCAGACTGCCCAGCATCAAGCAGGATGCTCTGCAAACAAACCTGCCTCAGAATGCAAGAACCAACACAGCCGTACAGCTTGTGGCATCGAGTCCAGCCTGTCCCCATGCTGCCAGGGCGGGGAGAAAGCGTGGGGAAGCTTTTTCTTCCCAGAATGCGGGCACACAAGGAACAGCAGCAGCTTCTTGGCAACGGAGAGTAAATAAAGCTGCCGTCCCAGCTGCAGCCGGCACGAGAAGCTGAGGATGCTGCCAGCTCCCCGGGTCCGTCTGCGCTGGGCTGGGGATGCGGAAAGCGCTGGGTTGGGGAGAAACATTGCATCTTCTGTCCGACGTGGTCATGTCGCATGGTGTGTGAGCTCCTGCACGACCTTCTGTGTGCTGGCTGTGGCTGGAGATCACCTGGGGCTGTGGCTGGGATGCAGTGGGTATTGCCCACTGCAATCCGCTTGCTCGCTGTTGTACGTCCTGGCCCTCAAGTTGGGGGTGTCTCATCCTCCCCGGTGACCCTGACAACCTCTTTTGGCTTTGTCCTGGCAGTACCGCACCTGGATCCGCCGCGACTACGGCAGGAACCCGTTCAAGGACCAGGAGGAGCTGGAGTGCTTGCTGGCCCAGCAGGAGCAGAGGCAGAAGGAGCAGCAGCTGGGGAGCAGGGATTGCTCCTGGCTCCATTCTCCAGCTCCCACCAACCCGCTCCCCTCCCAGGCAGGTGGCACCGGTGGAAGCAGATGGATGAACAGATAAGCAGCTGGCTGCTCGCGGGCAGACGTTGGCCCTGGGGCTTGGAGAACTCTGTATTCCCTTTGCCAAACGCCTGTGGGGATTCATGTCTAGGGCAGAAAGCAGCCAGTGCCGTCCTTGGCTATGGGCTTGAGGGTTGGAGTGAGGGAGTCAGGACTCACAGACCTTCCCCTTGGCTGCCAGCTCTGTGTATACCTCTGGACAAGCCAGTTAACTGATGATAGTGTCTTGCTCTGTCCCACTCCCCCATTAGCCAGTGGATCACGGCCACTTTTCCATCACCCAGGGCAGCAGCAAGCCCTGTCCCTCTCTCCAGCAGCATGGTACCCAGATGCTCCTGTGGCAGGGTGTGGGGATGCCAACGCAGACCTTGGAAAGCCAAGGTGGGATAAGATGGGGAGAGGCCACCTTGTATTCTGCTTTGCAGTGAAGCTGGAGTCCAGTACAGTCTGCGAGGTGGCCCTGAGGAGGGAGGGATGTGTCCTGGGGTGTGAGTGTGCTGCCGAGCCTGGCTGTCACCCCACAGGATGGGCAGAGGGGCTGGAGATGTCCCCCACCATGCTTGGACTTTCCTGGTCCAGCCTGTCCTTGGCAGATGTCTGTCTGGCATTTGCCTTAACTCACCCCCCTGCCGAGGGAGGGGGGAAATCCAGCTGTGCCGGAGGCTGCCTGTCCCCACCGCCTCCATCCCCGGGGCCAGAGTGGTTTGGGTTTCCCCTGCCGCCCCCATCTGAATGTCCTTGGTTGCAAAAGCAGCCAGTTGCTGGATTTGACTCGGTTGACCCGCAGACCAATTTAACACCGTCCCTCTCCAACAGCCTCTTTAATACTGAAAGATCATGGCTACGTCCCTTTTTATGTCCCAAACTCATACACCGTCGTTCCAAAGTGTGGCCTCACCACCTTCCTTTGACAGGACTCCCCACATCCATCCTACAAGGAGGGGGTCCCAACCCATTGGCACAGCCCTTCTGCATTCAAACCTGCAAATCTTCCATGCCAGCTTGGCCTTTTGCTATAAATACCTTGCCTGGCTTCTCAAAACTATCTGTTCTGCAATCCATTCTGAGAAAAAAAAAAAAAAAAAAAAAAATACACAGTTCAGATGAAATTTGTATATAAAAACAAGCCTTATCTTCTGAAAAAATTCACGAGGGCCAGCTTGCTGAAAAAAAAAAAAAAAAAAAAAAAAAAAAAGAAGCTTAAAATATTTCTAGGCCTTAATGAAAATTTCTGGGTACTCTCGAGTGTGACCATACTGGGGATGACTTGCCTGGCTCTTAATAAAGAGGAGAGTGATTAAAACTGTGCAGCTGGCCAGTCTTGATTTGTGGTGCTCCTGGTGGGAATGGAGGGGTGGACTGACATGTTTCTTATTTTCTTGACGAGAACCATCAGCAAAGTTAAAAGTTTTTAAAGATTCAATGTTTAGCCATAATGTACAGGCTTCTGGGGGGAAAATAATATAATTATGGAGGCTTTCCCCTGTCTTTTTGTGTTGAGAAAAGGGTCCCTTTGGTTGTTATTCTACACGGAGGCACTCCACAGTGTGTGCTGGTGGCACGATCTGCATGGGAAAGCGCCCCAAGCAATTAATGAGATCAAGGACCATAAATGCTGTTGATGGAGTGGACTGGAGGGAAGTTGAGCAAAAAGGGTCGATATCGTATTTGAGGCCTCTGTTATCGTTTTAGGAAGCAGAAAAATGGAACTTGTGCACAGGAGAAAAAGAGAAGAAAGTTGATTTCTGGTGTTAATAGGAAGTCATCGGAGATGTGTGATAAGCAGAGATTAGCTTTGCAGGAGGTGTGATAACCTCCACGGAGCACTGTCATCCCCTCACATGTGCCATCCTGGGTGCAGTGCCCCTTCCCATCCCAGACTGGACATCCCAGGACTCAGACATTCCCCAAAGAACTGCAGCATTGAAGCAGCTGTTACCCCTGGAAAAATCCCCCTGATTTTTGGGAATCACAAGGGATGGTCCCTATAAGCTGCAGCATCACCCACACCTGGCATCAGAGCAACAACTGTTGCCCAAATAGCATCTCCCAAGCCCAATTTCCCTTGGATTTGAGGGGTGTCCCAGGTAAATATATATATTTTTCCACTCTGGCCTCTACCAGTGGGAGCTGTGGTGGCTTTAGGACTTGTGGGCACTGGGAGGCAAGCCCTGAAGCAGGTAAAACTGGGCTGATTTCCACTTCTTTCTGCTCCGGTAAGAGCTCTGCGCGCTTCGCCGCTCAGCTCTCCCCAGCGACCGGTGCCTCTGGCGGGGGGAAAAATCACTCTTTTGAGGTATGAACGAGCTTCCCAGCTTCCCGGGGCGCTCCTCGCTTGCAGGGAAACAGTTTGCAAGGAATTCCCTTCCATGCTGCCTGCCCCCGGGGTGTGTTTCCCATTTTCCCCTGCCAGCCGCTGGCAGGGCTGCGGGGCATCACGCTGCTGCCAGCGCCGCCAGCGGCTGAAAAACCCCATTTTAAGGCAGTTATTATTTTATCCTCCTCCCGTTGGGATCCCACTCACCCCAGGGAACTGAGATTTCACCTTTCCAGGCTGCCCATGAAGTTGAGGAGACAAAATGACACCAGAGGTGATGGGATCACTGGGTAGCAGGGTCGCAATTAGCTCGTAGAGAGGATGGAGAGGCTTGATTTTACGAAGCCCCTTTAAAATATCCTGAATTTGCCAGAATTTATACAAAAGCAACTATTTTTTACTGAGGAGGTCTCTGCCTGGTGTCGGAAGGCAGGATTGGTGTCACAGGGGATGGCGATGCAAACTCCCCCTGCAAACCGTAACTTGTTTCTTAGTTAAGAAAAAAAAAAAAAATAAATAACCCTCCTAACCACATGTGATTGCAAAAGGGGTTTTTGGCTCCCCCCAAATCTCACAGGGGGGATCTGATTAGGATCAGTCGGGTGTTTAAAAACAAGGGCTATTACAGCCGTTATTTATTAGAAATGACAATAAAGGTTGTGTACCTTAGATCATTATTTTTATTATACCATCTGTGCAGTTCCATACATTTCCCATTTCTCTGTATTACCCACATGGGAGTAATTATGGTTTTCTTCCAAGAAATGTGTGTGTAATCTGGTAATCCCAAAAAAGCCCTCTGAAATCAGGCTGCAGATGGTCCTTTACGCTCTGCTTCGGCCAGTGGCCCCAGCTGGGTATGCTTGGGCTGGACTGGGGCTACTGGTCCCAGCTGGGGGATGACTGGTGGTGCCGGGGCAGCCAGGGAGGGAACGATCCGGGACCTGGGGCTGATCCGGGAGGCAACTGCCCAGGGATGGGCTGATCTGGGATTGGGGACACTGGTCTGGGGCTGAACCAGTCTGGGACTGGGGAGGGACTGGTCTGGGTCTGAACCAGTCTGGGACTAAGCAGAGACTGATCTGGGACTGGGGATGGACCAATCTGGGACTGGGGACCCTGGTCTGGGTCTGAATCAGTCTGGGACTGGGGAAACACTGGTCTGGGACTGGGGATGGACCAATCTAGGACTGTGGGAGGACTGGTCTGGGTCTGGGTCTGGACCAATCTGGGACTGGTGATGGACCAACCTGGGACTCAGGAGACTGGTGTGGGACTGGTGATGGACCCATCTGGGACTGGGGAGACTGGTCTGGGTCTGAACCAATCTGGGACTGCGGAGAGATAGATCTGGGACTGGGGACGGGCCGATGTGGGACTGTGGAGAGACTGGTGTGGGACCAATCTGGGACTCAGGAGACTGGTGTGGGACTGGCGATGGACCCATGTGGGACTGGGGACACTGGTCCGGGTTTGGACCGCTCTGGGACTGGGGAGATGGACTGATCTGGGACTGGGGAGATGGACTGATCTGGGACTGGGGAGACTGGTGTGGGACCGGGGATGGACTGGTCTGGGATGGGGGACACCGGTTTGGGACTGGGGAGACCGATCTGGGACTCCCGTCGCCCCGCCCCTTGCCCCGCCCCCTCCGCCTGATTTCCCGGAAAGTCTCGCCCTTCAGAGAAAGCTCCGCCGGCCGCGCGCGCCCCACTGGGCGGCTCCTCATTGGTCGGGCCGGGGGCAGAGACGGCTCTCCATTGAGCGGGGGCGGGATGGGGGCGTGGCTAACGCTGGGCCCGCCCTCCCGGGCTGCTATAAAAGGTGTGCGCGGTGGGCGGTGCGGGGAGCGGCGCGGAGCGGCGCGGAGAGCAGGTACGGGGCGGTGCGGGATGTGTGTGCTCTGCGCTGTCCCCACGGTGCTGGAGAGTTGCGGGGAGAGGGATACGGGGTGCTGGGGAGGAGGGGAAGAGGGTTGCGGGACCCTCGGGAGCCGGGGAAGGGGGATGTGAG